CTGTAACCCAGGACAGTTAGGCATGAGGAAAGGGACCTGAACTCTAAAGAAGAAAAACTCGGCAACAGCAGAGCGAAATCTGTGGCAGGGACAGTTCTGCACCTGAATATCTCGCTTGTCTTCCAGTACAAATGGGCAGTACTTGAAGCAAGGCAAGTATGGAGCAGCTGTAGTGGGGAACCATGCCACCAAAGAGGTGAGAAACACTTCCCTTCTTGAACGTTTTCGTGCTGAGAGTACGCTGGTGTGAGGTAGCGTTTCTCTGAGCTCACCAGAGTGTCTTTGCTTCTGATGCTGGAGGTTGGTTCCACGGCTGCTTACGCCTTCCTGGCCCCCTGCATTTTCTTATGGCTCAGCCCTTGACCTTGGTGACGTCTTTCTTCTCTGCAGTTACTGAGTTTGTAAGATCTCTTACAACTTCTGTCTGAAATGTTTCAGGCACTGCACCTTTTCTCATGTTTCTGGAAGTGGTTTTGATATTTATTCAGAATGTCTTTGACAACTGGATCACAAATCTGTGCATGTGGAAAACAATACAAGGCAAGATTTTGTCCAGCAGTACAGAGATGCTTTGCTTAAGTTTTGTTATTTTGATATCAAAAATATCTCTTTCCCAAGTGCTCTTCTAAGCACACAGCACTGAGGTGCCTCGTAAATTGGTGTGCTTAAAAAATACTTGGAATACTCTGATCTGTCCTTGATGTTGGTGTTTATGGTGTTCGTATCCCCCAATTCCTGACTCATCTTGTCTCACTAAACTGCTTCTGCTTTGGCAAGAATTAAAAAAATAGTACTTTGGTAAACTTTGATTCCCGAGTCGCTGACCTGAGGAGCGTTCAGGTGTGGCCCTCATGGGGCAGCTGGGAAGGACAGGGTTGGCAGAAGGAAGCTGACACGGCCTTTCTCCGGCTGCCTTTGTCATACCACAACCCGCACAGCTAGCGGAATACTGCCAGTTCACTCCCAGGCTCCCTCCAACTTATTGTTACTCAGTCTGTTAGGTTGATTTATGCCTGTGTGCCGTGTTTTGCGAGTTCCATGTATCATCTTTCTACACGGTAACTGCAAAAAATGTGGAATTAATTGAAACATCTTGCTCATTGCAACGTAATTAGTTTGAATTGCTTGATTCCTGTGAGTAAAGCTTGCATGTTTTCAAGGGGTTTTAATAGCTGTTACAAAATTGTGTTAAGTATTTTTGCGCTGAAAAATGCTGCTGCAAGGTGTATTTGACAAATAAATACCGTAGCCTTAGGCTCAGAGTTTGACAAAGCACACTAGAACTGGAGACGTTTTGAGTTTTGGCTTTTTGTTCTTTCTCCCTGCCCAATTCCTTGTGGAATCCAGTACAGGATCCTCCTTTACATCAGTCAGCAGCAACAGATCACAAGTGCGAGGATCCACCCGGGCTTCATACTCACGGTAAGACTCTGGGTTAGAGCAGCGTTCCAGGGTCTGTGTTGTTCCCGGCAAGCAGAAGCTGGCTCTGAAATGCTTTCCAAGGTGTTAGTTTCTGCCTTGGAGGTCAAACACCTGCCTGCCACAGCGAGAGGCATCCCAGGGCCCGGCAGCGCTGGCCCGCTCCTGCGCCCAGGGGGTGTTGCCCAAGAGACTGGTATATGGGCCGATGCAGAGCGGCTCGTCAGTAGATTTTGTAAGGCAAGGTCGGCAAGGTGCTGCAGGAGGAGCGTTGCTGCCTGTACATAACCGAGGAGATGTTTGGGGGTTTGCAGTCCTGCAGTGGATAGAAACGGAACAAAACTCCTTTTGCTGACAGTTAAGCGACTGAGGGAATACAACTGAGCAAGCAGAAGGAAACGCTGGCAAGGAAATGTTTTCTCTCAGAAATTTGACACTCGGCATTTTTCTGCTGATAAGAACAATTTGGAGCATTGTAAGCCCTAAAAAGGGATCTCTGGGGAAGTTCTGGTTTCTGCCAGTTTTACAGCAAATCGGTGTGTTGGTTTGCTGCTCTGAGCTTGTCTGGTTTGACAGAAAGAAATTTTACTCTTAAATAGTAGAACTTCAGTCCAAATTCCTGACCAGAATGGTAGCTTGCTCTATAGTTTTATAAGCACATTTTCAAACATGAATGGCTTATGTAGTCAGCTTCTGGTGACGTGGATTTTTAGAAGTGAGGAAGGAGTGACTCCTCCAATTGGTTCTGGAAGTCTAAATGTAATCAATACTTGGGAAAAGTAGATGACTTCAGCTTAAAAATCCCTGTATATATTTTGGAACCTAGCTTCAAAGGAGCTTGTGAAAGCCGTGGTATCTATGAAGAACTTGATGTTTGCTCAAGTATTTGAATTATAATAATTCTGCCATGATAATGAGCACATAAATAAAAGCTAATTTGTGCATTCTGAACTTGGGTAGTAGTACAGCCTGCTTCTTCCTCTGCCTCTACTTAATTTCAGCAGCTCGTATTTTAAGCTGCTTCTGGATGTGAATTTTTGTTTGTTTAGTTGAATGCATCTTTTCATGTATAACATAGGACTGATTTCCTTTCCTCTCAGGTTCAACCCAACAATTACAGTACGTTCTATGATGATCAGAGGCAAAACTGGTCCATCATGTTTGAGTCGGAAAAGGCAGCAATGGATTTCGGTAAACAGGTAGGTGCTTACTCTGTGCAGGTACGCCTTGCTGGCTTGTTAAGAACAACAGGCAAATCAAGGTGGTGTCTGAGAGCCCCTTATTGCTGAAAGGTTCAAAGTCAGAATTGTACTTTTTCACTGAAGTTCAGCTTTGAGCATTTGCATGACTGTGGTTGAGGCAGATTGCACTGAGCCTGGCTGAGGGCTCATTAGATGCAGGCCTCTTTGAGGCAGTGAGCCTGTTCTTCTGGTGGGATTTTTGATCAAGATTCTTGAGTGCCGTGAGACCAACGGTTCTGTGGAGCAGAGGGTATTTCTCAGCAAAATTCAGCACAAGGAAGCATGGAATGCCTCGTGAGTGCCTGTATAACCTGGCCGTGATCAGAACAGTAAGGAGTGCATCAAATCTGCAGTGAGTCGTAGTGGAACTTCCCACTCTGTTTTAACAGCCAGAGACACTGATAAGCTTTCCTCCTGCAGGTCTGCATTGCCAAATGCAACAGCTCCCCAGTGCTCGATGCAGTCCTCTACCAGGATCTCCTCCTTGGGGAAGGGCAGGGAGTAGAGGGGGGAGACTCTCTGGAGGTTGCCTATACGGGTTGGCTGTTCCAGAACAACGGGCTTGGACAGGTAAGGACGTTTCTGCTACCTCCTAGCACTGAGTGAGTGTGACAGTCCCTGGAAGGAACCTGCCACATCCAGCTAGTAGTGGTGCTGATGTTAAAGGTATTTTTTCATTCCTGATGGCACCGAAAGTGAAGTCATCTGTCACCTATAGAATAATAAGGGATTCCAGTCCTATTCAGGATGAGGTGATTGAATGCTTTTAACTTCCAGAGGCACTCTCACACACTAATATTAATGAAAATGGTGTGGAGGAATGAAGCTCCCTGTGCTCCTTTGGAGACAGCTTGAGGAAGTGAGAAGGGCCTTGTCTGACACAAAGCGCATCTCCAAGTATTCAAAGAATGAGATTGCTTTTACATCCTCTACAGCTCTGTCCAGTCCAGTTTGCTAATAAGTGAAATAAATGCTTTGGTGTTTCAAAGCATTACCTTTAAAACACTTCTGCTGGGGTTTACTGTTGGCAAAATTCATGGCAAAGGGTTTTGCATTTGCATCCATCTGCAGTTGCATCTTTTCCCCTATAAAAAAGGGCTTTCTGGTTTTCTTCTTCAGGGGATGTTTTTGTTTTCCTTGGGCTGCCTGGCATGCCTCTCTCTATGTACCAACAGTACATAGCAGAGCTTACTTCTGATCTACTGAAAGAGTTGTCCAGCTCTCTATGGCTTAGTTTAATGTACAGAACTTAGTTGTTTACTGCTTGATGTAAGCTTGATGTGTTGGTGTTTTACTTGGCCCAGTCGTGTCCTGACCATCAAGCTCAAAGCAGTTTTAAAGTCTGAGTCTCCAGCTATCATTCACTTTAAGAAGTTGTACTATGCAATGGACTAAAAGCTGTAGCTATGCTTGGTCTTATGTCTGTTGAGCATTAATTTTGGAAGTAGCAGAATGGGAAATAGCATGTAAGAGGTTGTGGGAGGTTATGGAACATGTAAAGTCACGCTCAGAACCTTGAAACAGTTGGGAAATCCATGTATTTTCTGTTCTTCAACTGTCTAGGTGTTTGACTCGAACGTTAACAAAGACAAGCTGTTGCGGCTGAAGCTGGGTTCTGGAAAGGTCATCAAGGTAGAACTTCTGGCACTTTCATTGTAATAATTGAAGTCTCTGACCTTTGAATTAGTGAAGATCTTGTTCAGGATTCATGTATGCTATTTCTGTTTCCTATTTCATTTGATAGGAAACACTTTGTATCAGCGACTCACTCAAACTTTTGTTCTTCATTAGCCCAGTCTGCTTTTCATTGGCAGGTTAGAAAGGAGTTGTCCTGTTTGGTAAAAAGGAAGCTTCTTGTTTTCAAGAGCTGAGTTCTTCAGGGTAGATTTTTTTAATTTTTTTTTGTCTTTGTTTCTTTGGAAGTCACTTAATCCATTACCCTGTTCTTGGGGAGCCCTCTTTCTAAAGGAGGATTTCAATTTGAGAAGAACTTCAGATTCCTCCCTGCTCATTGTGCCTCGGAAGCAGAGCATCAGATAGCTCTGATACAACACCTGGGAGAAGGGCGTGGGAGGGTGAAGACACCTGACAAGTTTTAGGATGGTTTAGTAAAAGATGGTACTACTGCCTGGGGTGGTCTTACCCTCTGAGTCAAATCGTGAGGGTTTTCACTATGTAATAATTTTTCAGTCCAGGTGGTGTGGTACAAACTTACTTTATTCCACAAAATCAGTTCATGAATCAGAGATGCTTTTGGCCAAGTCACTTCCATTACCCGAGTAATTCATGTATGACCTCTTACAAGTTGTCCTTTGTTGAAGACGCACTATGTTTCTGCTTCGTTTGTTTTAAAGTGTATCTTCTAGTGACTGTTGCCTGGGTGTAGTAGTCGTCCTGGTAAATGCTGGCATCCATTTGACAGTTTGTGTTGCTCTGACTTCTAAACCTCCTTGGCTACAACTGTTTTCTGTGGGTGCTTTGTAAATCTAACCACAGCAATTCGGAAGTGATCTCTGTGACGTGGAGTCCTGTTCTGTCCCTGAATGCTGAGAGGGGTCACCACTGTGTGCCCTGCAAGCCGCCTGCAACTGCAGAATTTGTGCACGCAGCACAACACGCGGTTCTTTTCTCCAGGGTATCAGTGTGATCCATGGTAGCTGCTCAAGTGATGATATTTAAAACTTGCACCAGGTTTCTGGAACCATGCAGAGACCTGGAGGCCTCCAGCCTTCATGCTAGAGACAGCTGTATCTGCTTGACTTCGCTATGAACATGTTGGGGGCTGCGTCTTTATTCTTAAGTTAATGTTGCAATTTATAACTGGCCATTGTGATTCATTGTAAGACAAAGGTTTAGTGTCGCAGACTGAAAATAAACAGGATTTTACAAGGATATCTCTGTATATATATTTTGGAATCTTCTATAACTGATGCCTGAAGCTGTCTTAATCAGTGTGACTAAAAGAAACCGTAACGTACTGATCAGGCTGTTTGCTTCCTCTTCTGTTGTGTCTCTGACAACCAAAGGGCTGGGAAGAAGGAATGGTGGGGATGAAGAAAGGAGGGCGAAGGTATCTCATTATTCCTCCAGCATGGGCCTATGGAGCTCAGGGAGTGGCCGGCCGTGTCCCTCCAGACTCTACTTTGGTTTTTGAGGTGGAAGTTAGGCGGGTGAGTGTCTTCTGCCAAGCGTTTATTTTACATCTGCTTTGTGGCTGTTGGGTGGCAGCGTCTGTCTGCAAGGTGAAAACCTGCTCTTGGCGTGAGAGCTACAGCCCAGAAACTGTTATAAACCGAATACCTCAGGAAGATACGTATCTTTCATTTAGAAACCAAACCAAAACCCTAAACCCCAAAAAATTCCTCCAGGCTGTTTACTAAGACATGTCTGTTCTAACTGTCTTGGGATCCTTTCATTGTCTTATTTGTGAGTCACTTGGGAAAATAAAATACTCGGTGAGGAATGACGGGATGTAAAGACTCAGCATCTCCAGTGTGTGCTTTTACTTGAAGTGCCTGAGCTTGACAAAATAGTCATCTAAAATAAGCAAGTTGCTGAAAACTTTTTTGGGAACCCACAAAAATGTCCCTTTTTTTTTTTTTTATTACGTGCTCTTTCAGGTGAAGTTGGTGAAGGAATCCTCTGGTTCGGATGGACAGAGCGTTAGCTCAAGGGATTCTCCTGCCCCGTCTCCGGTACCCAGTTCAGATGGCTTCTCTGCAGACACTGGCTTGCTGCCTCCGTCCACCATACCTCCAAAGCCTGGGTGAGCTGCAGCACGGCTCAGACAGCTCGCTGTGATACAAGAGGGCAGCGCTCGTCAGCAGGTGGCACAATGCTGCGTTAGCACATCACTTGGCAAGCGGGGGTCCTCCGTGTGCCAGCGTGGTGCGTCAGCGTGGCAGAGGAAGGCTTGCGAGCAAGACATGCAGGAAATTTTCTGTTTGAATGCTGGCTTTCAGGTTTAAAGAGATTGGAATGGGCACAGATGAAAGAAGTAATTCCACTACAGCATTACTGAGATCTAGTGTGACTAAGCTGTGTGGGTGCTGCTGCCCAGCTTTCTCATCTCGGGTGCCAGTATAGTCATAAGGTAGTTGGTCTTGGGTCGTGGCTGATTTGTTTAATTGCAAATTTTACATTTGTTTCTTACATTAACTAAATGGGTCAGTCATCCTTTTTAGGGAGTTCAAGTTTAAATGCTCTTTTTGTTGCCATAAGTAGTTTGTTATTGGACTTGGTTAAAATTTGTACCAGAATGTGGTTGTTACAGCAATCAACAAAATTCATCTGTTCCACAGCCATGGAACTTGCCCATAATGATGTTCTGAAATCTACAGATAATGTTGCAAAGAATCTTCCAAAAGTAAGCCAGAAGAAATGCTCACAGTAGAAGAAAACTGTTTTCCTAGGGGGTGGTGTATTTGACAGTATTTAAAAATGCAGAATATTGGATCCTGAATTTCATTTTTGTTAATCTCCGGTATCAACATGTGCGTGTTTGGCTTTTCAGGGAGCCAGCTGTTCGGGCCAAGTCAAACTCCATCAGTGAACAGCTGGCAGTAAGTGGTGGTGGTTTTTCCTAATTCAAAGCCTTATGTAGGGAAGCTTGGTTGGTTTCATTTCTGCGTTCAGTATTGCTGAAGATAAAGTGAACATCACACAAGCAAGATGCTGTTGAATGTTCACCTTACTAACAGCAGGTCAGGGACTTGTTTTTGAAGGGATTAGCAGAACATGAGGAACCTCAGTCCCAGTTCCTGCTCTTAAAGCAAAGTGACTTTGACCTTGTGGATACTCACAGGGCTAGTTGTCTTCTCAGGTAAATCGACAAATTTAAAATGGTTAACAAAGAGTAATTGGGACAATCAGTGTAAGTTTATGTAGCTACATGAGAAGACGACTTCCTGCATGTGCCTTGGGATAGAAAAAGCTGCGAAGCAGCTTCCTTAATTAACACATTTTCTTCTTGTTGCTGCGTTTTGTGCAGGGATAGATGTTTTTCTATGTAATGACAGCAGTGTCATCCCAGAAGGACAGTATATAAAGCAAGCCAGATTAACAAATCCACAGTGTTATCTTCTGTGCTTGAAAAAAGTTTTTCATGCAGTCATTGAAAAATTGAAAGCACCAAAATTATTAAGTCAATGATTTAGAAGAGTCTGATCCTGACAGATGTCTCTAATGTGTGAAAAGCCTGGGCTGAGAGACAAAGGAAGAGTAACTGCAAACATTTCTTTTAGAATCCAGATGTAGCAAAGGCAAAGCTAATTTCTCGGATGGCTAAAATGGGACAGCCCATGCTGCCTTTCCTGGCTGGGACAGCGGGTGGTCAGCTTGACTCCAGTGACTCGGAAATAGAGGTGAGTCACCGGCACCTGAATGTGACTGTTTGCTGCTTTTTCTCCAGTGTGAGTTCCTTAAGGTGGAGGCCGTAGCAGTGACTCTCCTGTCGGTACAGGGCAGGCGTACCCTGCTGCTGTGGCAAAAGGGTTTGACGATTCCACTGTTCCTATCCAGTTGAATTGGGTTAATTGGATAAGTCCCAGGTGATCGTGGGTTCAAACTGTTCACTCATGCTTTAGCATTCCTTCTAATATGCAGAAATGTTTTTAGGATCCAAATACGCTGAGAGGGACAGCACAACCAGTGGCTTCATCTTCAGTGAGACCGTCGCAGCCAGCTCATGCAGTACTGCCCACGGTGTCAGCACAAGGTAATGTCAGCCTGGGACTGGTATAGCAAAACTGCACTTTTTTTTGCAGGCTTCAAGTGCAGGAGCTGTACGAATAGAGGATTCCTTTTGGGAACTGAAATAGGAACTGATAGATAGCTTCTCATAAGGCTTGCTGGTCCAAAGCTCCCCAGGCAGACTGTTCATAAAGCACAAGACTGACTATGTCTGCGTTGTGATGTCCCGCACACACCACTGCTGGTATGCTGGGGTGGCACTGAGATTTCTAGGACCTGTGACTTGTAAATGGAACCGTTACAAATCCTTTCCCAGTGAACAGATTTTTTTTGTTTGTTTGAAAATGATGGAAATAAGAGTGAAGGGCACCAGAGGGCGGGCAGCTCTGGAGTGGCCTTGACTTGTCTTTCCGTGATGGATTAGTAATGTCAGCTGCTGGTTACAGTCAGCCTGAGTAACATCCTGTGTCAGTAAACTCCACAGCTCTGTTTGAGTGAAAAGATGTGGTCTAATTGTAGCTAGAAGTGGTATTTCTGTGCAAGATAACTCTTTCCTTGACCTTTTATCACTTGCTTGACTGGATTTAATTTTCACAAGGCTGCAGACAGGCTTGTGTTAAGTTTTTGTCTATTTAGTGATTTTTTTTTTAATTTATTTTTTTTTTCTTTTGACTATTTCACACCAAGTGAGTTAGATTATTTTTAGCTACTTTTTGGCGTGCTGAATTTCTTTCTTCCTTTCCAGTACCTCAGGCGTCTGGTTCTACACCGCCGGTATCTTCTGCTGCTTTAATACCTGCCACGATCCAGCCCCATTCAGCTCTACCCGCAGGAGCACAGGGCTTTCAGGTACCGAAGTGAAATCAAGGAGAGTGTTGGCGCTTCTGTCCTTTCTCATAAGGCTTATTGTCTTCTCCATTGCTGGGAGCAAGGACTTTATAGCAGCACGTACAGATGAGAATCACAGGCTGTTTCCTGTGACTCTTTAGCACTTCGAGGTTTCCATGACGGGCATCTTAATTTAATCAAAAAGGGCTAATTTTCTGTTTACTGATCGCTTCTTAAAGTTGAACTAAGAATTAACCAGACTTTGTTTAATATCTGCGTTTCTAGTGGATAAAATACAACTTTCCAGCACTTGTGGAGCAGGTGAAACTGAAAGCATTTGCGTTGAAATTTTTCTTGGTCACGGTCTGTTTTTCTGTGAGAGCTCATTTGTGCCCTTAACGTGTTTGTGGGTCATGGGTTTTCATCCAGCAGAAGAATAATCCTTTTAAAAGGCTTGTGGTGCTGCTGCTGTGAAGTGATGCAATCTGCTTGCTAACAAGGAGACTTTGGGGGCTTAACACACAAGCATTTTCCACATCAGATAGTGAAGACTTGTATGTACAAACCTATTGTACAAACAATTCTATAAAGTCTATATTCTATAAAGCTTTTTACTGTTCACTTGCTGTAGTTATTTTCACTTAACCTATTTTCTGGAGCTTTTGGAAATCAGTGGCCTATGTCACATGGACACGCCATTTATTTTTAACGGGTCCAGGCAGAGGAAGAAAACATTTGATAATGAATAAAACCACTATGTTTAAAAAACAACAAAAAACCAAACCAACCAACCAACAACAAAAAAACCCAACCCCACCACACCAAACCCAGAACTGCTGTGGCATTGCATTGCTTTGGCTTTGTGTTTTCCTTTTGTTGAAAAAGAGGAAGGTGTGGCAAGTAACAAGATAAAAAAGATACTTTTCTGTTTGTTGGAACAGAAACTAGTCATTAAAGTGAAGTTTTAACCTGACAGTGATTTAGATGTATTGTTTTGAAAGTTTGACCCTGATGTCCTGAATTCTTGTAGAAACTTGGCCCAAGTTGCATTGTAATCTTTTTTTTTTTCCTTGCCCGAGAGAGTAAGTCGGTATCAGTGAGGTACTCGTAGCATTCAGTGCATTCTTCAGCCTGTTTAGCTGCTGCTGCTGAGCACAGAGCACTAAAGTTGCAGTCAAGTCGTGTTGCACTGTTTGAACTCTTCCTAGGAACAGCCTCGTGGTCAAGTCAGCATAACTGCAGGTTGCTGCACATGCAGTAAGCTCAGTGAGCTGTTCACATGCTGCCCTTGGCCTCTCAAAACGCAGGGTAACATGTTCTCACTGAAACTTCAGTGAAGAAGGTAACTGACTAAGCTGTAGTATCCTGAACGCATCTAAGCCTAGAAAGAAGAGTGGCTTTGGTTTTTTCATACTGTGACTTGTGTAATTGGACATCCTGCTCCCAAATTCCGGGTTTTTTCCTTTCCAAATATTATCATTTCTGTGGGGCTTAAAAAACATGAAAACCACCTAAGTGTGAGGAGGGGGGAAGCATCAAAATATATTCTAATCTGTTGAACTTGTTCTGCAAGGCATATCCAGGAATGGCATTTGCTTACACCCAAACTGCTGCGTCTGCTTCTCAGCTCCAGCCTGTAGGACAGATGTATCCCGCCCCGTACCAAGGTATGTTTAAAAAAATGATGTGCTTTTCAGAGGGCTGCAGTACCTGCAGTAACTGGTTTATAATGATGATTTCAGTAGCACTGGTAGCATACACATACGTACTCATCCTGTCTTTTTAATACCAAATAGGAGCAAACATTTCACAGTGAATATCCATCTTTTTCTAACCTTGAGGAACTTTAGTGCAGTGTGAAAGGGGATGGAATTTCTAGGTGTATTCCCAAGGCTGTGTATTACTAAAGGTATTTTATAGTTAGTGCTTCCCATTATAGATATAACTGTAATAGCAAACAGCTATCCTACCAGCCAGGGAAAGAATTTAAGTGTGCAGGTAGAGGCCTTTCCTAAGTGAGAGGACATAAAGAAAGGCACAACCTAGGAAGGACTAAAGGCATTTAAAGAACAGTTTAGGTTTAGAACCTGCCTATTCACATTATTTGGAAAATACCTACATTATTAATTTTCCAGCTACTGTGGCCCTCTTATTTCTGGGCAGAGAGTGGCTGTCCTATCTGTCAGGCTTCAAACTGCTGAGCATCGCTGTTGATATGTCTGCATGCAGGCGTTTTCCCCTCGTGACTATAGATGTCTCTCCTTTCCGTTCAAGGACCAGGGGATGTGACTTCCTTTTTGATGACAGAAGCTCGGCAGCATAACACTGAAATCCGGATGGCTGTTAGCAAAGTAGTAGATAAAATGGATCATCTGGCTGCCAAGGTAATGTATGGCACAGGCAGGCCTGTTAACGAGGTTACTGCTGTTGCTCTCCAGATGTAGTCGGAGGAGTTGCCTCTGTTTAAACACCTGCATTAGGTTTGTAAGGGATGTACTCACTTAGTGAAAGTTCCAGTGTTGTCAGACCTTGAAGTGGTAGCAGTTTCAGCTGCTATGCAAAAGCTAAGCCTAGGCTTGGGGGAAGGTGCTGTCTCTTACTGTCTCACACATCACCTGATGCGTGGTGTTCGCAGAGGCTCCCTGCCCTTGGGGAGGTGTCGCAGTGGATGCGGTGGTGCACACCCGACCACTGACCAGACAGAACAGCGAAATGATCTTGGCAGATGTCTGACTCCTACCTACCCCCATAAATTCGTTTCATCTGGCTTAAGAATGCCTTATCCCTGCAGGTGGAGGAGTTGAAGAAACAAAGTGCTGGTAACAGCTCACTGCTGCCTGGTATCTCCTCTGTTACTATGGAAGCCTCCATGATCATGAGCAATATCCAACGCATAATCCAGGTGAGCATGGCCAGCCTTATTTGACTACTTCCATAAGGAACTGGAGCCCTCAGTGTTATTCCTAACGAGGATAGCTGTACTGGCTTGGCCCAAATGGGTGGCCACCCGTGTGTTCTGGTTTTACATGCCCAAAAGCAGCTGCCTAGGTGAAGAGTATGAGAGAGACAATGATTTCTGTCCCTCTCCCTCTGAAAAAAGCTGTTCTCAACCGTTTGTGAGCCAGAGTTGATATATTAATAGGCCTTGGCAAAAGGTTCATGTAAGAGAAATTCAGCTGCTGCTTAAACCGTTATGGACTTAACCCACAGCATCCTGCAGGACGGAGTTTTACAGCTGAAGTACCCTGTTGCAAAACCCACCTGCTTCTGTTTTTCACTACTTAGTCTTACACTTTGTAGTTTTTTGAGGCACCAGCTTTACAGTCTTGGGATTTGTGGGTGAAAAAGTCAACCACACACAATCTTCTCTAGAATGAGGTTTGGCAACCACTGTCCCATGCCAGGATTCCTGCTAAATGTACCACAGCACCTTCCTGTGATGCTGCCACAGCCGGTGATAGTTCTCACCACTGTGCTGCATTCTGTACCAAACAAAGGCTTAGGTACTGCTGCAGGGAAGTCTGAGTAAGATGAATATTCATGCTGGGCTGTCCTGTAGGAGAATGAGAGGCTGAAGCAAGAGATATTTGAGAAGAGCAGTCGTATTGAGGAGCAGAACGAGAAGATCAGCGAGTTGATTGAGCGGAATCAGAGGTAAGGAGTGGGAGGGTACAGCCTCTCTGCATTTGCAAAGACTTTCTAGCTTACACTTGGTTAGGCGTAGCTAGGAGGGGTGTTCTTAGGACAGAGTCATGTTCTGATATTTCTAAATTTTATTTTTTTTTAGGTATTAAAAGTGTGGGGGTTTTCCCTCCCCTCTCTCTCTGTAGGACGTATCTCTCAAACTGTGGTTTTCAGTAGACATGAACGTGTAAAAGCGGAAAAAACCCTTATGCTATCTTCTTTGAGCACGCTTGCTCTGCTCCTGGGAGGTGCTTCACTTTTGCTGGCTTTTTAGTAAGGTGGAAGAAATTGTAGAGGATGTGGTGTCCCTGGTGCCACTGTTTGGTGTGTGCTCCGTTCAGTTTAAGAAGGGGAGTAACTTGTTTAAGGAAGTGGCAAAGGTCAGTGGATATCAGGTTATCAAAACTCCGGACTGTGTGATAGGAATGTTAGACTTGTTGCAGAGAGGTAAAGCACTCACCCAAGCTGATACAATCTCTGCTGTGCCAGGCTGTCCCGTTACCCCCTTTTGAGGTCAGGCTGCTCTTGGTGCCAGCGGACATCCTGCGAAATTGTCTGGGACTTGTCACGAAGAAACTCCTTTGCAATATCCCCTTTTCTGTCTGAGCCTTTTGCTTCAAGTGTCTACATAAACGCTCATGCAGTATTCCCCTGTTCACAGGTACGTCGAACAAAGTAACTTGCTAATGGAGCAGAGGAACCACTCACTGCAAACAACAAATGAAAACACACAGGCAAGAGTGTTGCATGCAGAGCAGGAGAAGGTAATGGTGACAAAGAGCGGAGCCACAGACCTCTGGCTGCAGCCAGGAAAGGGGCTTGTTGCTGCGCTAAAACATGCTGAGGCCTTGTTGGTCAAGGCTTAAGTCAGTTCTCTTACAAGACAACTGTAGTTCTGAACGTATGTTTTGAAAGCTGTTTTGAGAAAAGCTTGAATATTTTCATGGCTTTCATTGCAAAAGCAGCAGAGGACGTAAATGTAGATCTCTGCTGTCGTAGCTTTAATATTCGTATCTTACAGCAAAGTGTCTGATTTATTGTTGACTCTGTAGGTACATGGCAAACATGTTGAGGAATTGTGTGTATCACAGGGTTTTGTTGGGTTGAAAATGTACTTTGTTTATTTAGTTGCATGGACAGTTTCAGAAAAGTTTTATTCCTTCTATTTGACTGACATCGAGTGAATGTAGCCATCAGAAAAAGTATTTCCCGCTAGAGTTTCTTCATTGCACTTTTGCACTTTTTTTTTAAGTACTAATCAAAAGCTGTTTGTTTCTACCAATAATGTATTGTGCTTTTGTGGAAGGGGCTATTGGGAAATAGCTGTCCAAGCAGTTAAATGCACTTATGTGTGGCTGCGTATCCTGTAACGTCCACTCAGACAGCCTGGCTCAGGCAGGCTAGCTTTGAGGTCTGTAATTGCTTGGTGTCTTTTATGCTTTCTCGAGCACTGGCTTCTTAAATTACACCAAGTTCAGTCTTGCACCCTGCTCCCCTGCTGAGTTGTGTATCTCTCCAGTTCAACTGTGAGATGGTAAATGCTTGCCCTGCATGAGAACTGTAATTCGGTGCACCTAAAAATGACAGAAACGGCATCTTTCCGAGGCCTGCTAGCAAGTATGCTAAAGAACAGAGCAGTGTATGGCCAATAATTTTTCCACTGAGAGCCTAGGTCGCAACACTTGTAACGTGGAGGGAGTGTGAGAGGTTCTCACAAGGAATAAGTCAGACTGAAATAATAAATCAGATTCCTTTCTGTCAGCGAGCACAACCTCCAGCTTGTGTGGTAAGTAACTTGGGGAGGAAGCATCTTTTGGAAGTATAAGGTATCCTCTTCAGGAATCTTTTGGGCCTCATCTTCAATAGGATCCACTTGATTCAGCAGTCACTGCCTGGGTGGTAACACCAGACTTGAGGCTAGACCTGAAAAGCCGTGATTTGCACTGGAGAAGGTTTCCCCTAGTTTTGTCAGAGTATTGGCTGTAAATATGAAGGCTGGTATTCCTTCCTCTTCCTTTTATCTAACCCAGTTTGCTCTGTGACTGCAGTTGTTGAGATCACTATGGACAGACAGAATCAGGGAAAAGAATTTTAAACTATTTTATCTATTCTTTACTTAAAAATAGGGAATCGCCGTTTATTTGGTGATAAAGGGCAAGCATCTGTACTCAGGATCGCTGAGAAGAGGTGTTAGTAGTTGTGGCTCTTGGGTTTTAGATCTTCAACCCTGGCAGAGCACATCACCGCTTTAGGTGAAGGCTTCGTGTCCCATGACGACAAGTGACACCCCACAAACAGTGGTCACGGGTAGGGTCGCTCCCGCAGCTGCGGTGTGCGGGGTACCTGTAAGGATACCTTTAGTTTCTTCCCTTTTAAGCCAGGCTTCACTACCTTGTCTGAGCTTTTACAGTTCTTGCAATAATTTAAAGGCTTCTCTGGCATGCCTTCGGCTCCTGTAATGAAGCATTTTTCTTTTCTGATGATAATTAATGCCTCTGCCTTTCAAGCTGTGTTCTTAACCCTTCCTGTTTCCTGTCGCTGCTTTCTCTTCCTAGCACATGCTGCCAGTGGATCGGGGCTGGGACCAGGTGAGGCAGTGTGTCTGCTGACTGTGTAGGTGACAGATAATTGTGCCCTAGGTAGTGCCAGCCCAGCTTCCTCTTGAACTAGCTAGAAGCTGACGGGCATTAAAAGGATCGCCCCAGATCTTGAGTTAGCACGGATCTTCGGCTTGGAAAAGGGCTTTGTAACTGGCCCCCTCTTTCTTGGGGAGCCCTTTCAAAGAACTTTGTCCCATTGCTGCTTGTTTCACCTCCCCCGTGGAAGAAACAGGATGTGATCATGTAATTGTCAGTGCAGATACAGATCACCTAGGGTTCTTGGCACCTGAAAGCTGGAGGCTGTATAGATATGAAGCATTCACTGCACAAACTTAAGTCTAGTGACAGTTCCTGGCATAGAATTTGCTTTTTATTTTTCTTTATATGCCATTAAAGACAAAGACAAGCATTAAAATAACCTTTAGATACACCATGGGCTTTTGTTTTGTTTTTAGCATGCTAGGCGTTGGTATCAAGGACTGCAGTGAGACGTTTATGGAAGTGTAAGAGGAAAGCGGGTCTGGTTTTAGCCAGTCTCTGCTGAAATGCTGCCTCAGTATCCCGGCCCTCAAGGTCAGCACGCATTCATCCTCACTGTAGATGGAACAGTTTTTTGCTCACAGCTCTTCTCTGCCAGAAGGTGGTGGTCCTAGTCTGAAGAGAAATGCTTTAGTCTTGTGGGGATAAAGCAGAAAGAAACGCCACTTCTCCTGAACTTGCCAGTTACAAGAATGTGAAAGCCCGTTGGGCATCTGAAATGTAGGCTGTTTAGCTGTTCCCTGCAGCAAGTGAGGTTTTCTGAGAGGGGTAGCTCTGTCTTTGCAGAGCAGCCTCTGAATTTTGTGTGTTGTGCAACAAGATTGGGAGTGTGAGTTTGTGTCTTTGTCCTGATGCCCTGAGCCTCTCCTCACATACTGTTTCCAAGTTGTCCAACAAGCTGTCAGAGTACCTGGTTTTACATGAGTCACTGACTTTGAGCGATACTAAATCTAAACAGGTCAACAAGTTACTGTGAGAACAATGCTCTAAAATGACAGCCTTGCCTGTGTGGGCACCTCAAGGTGGCTATGTGCTGGAGCGAAGGTGCTCTTTTGGCTGGAACAAGCCTATGTTTTGTGTGGCTCTTCAGTGATTTGTAAGCTCATCAAAGATAATTAGATGTTGGAACCCAGGCTTTTGCTTGAATAGATGTTGTCATCACCTGAAAACTCTAAGCAGAGCCACCAGGCACTGGTACTAGTCTTAAAAACACGTTTATGCTCTTCAGGAAAACTCACTGAGTTGCACTAATGTGGTGACGAGGTGGTTGGTGGCCTCGTGCAACTTCCTGGTCCGTCTGGACAGGTTACAGCCAAACGACTCTCAGTAACGTGGCAAAAAAGTTACCGTTACCTCTTCAATTTGGAGATGCCTGTGAGGTGCTGCATCCCAGCACTGCCCCGCTAAGGTCTCCAGTACCTTGCCAGCTCTTCCTGCGGGAGCAGTTCTGGCGCCTCATCACACGCGCGTATCCTCTTTGTCTCCCTCTTCCCTGCTCCGTTCCGCGATGCAGGCCAAAGTTGCAGAGGAGTTAGCAGCTGCCACAGCACAGGTTTCCACGCTGCAGCTGGAGCTGACTGCCCACCAGAAGAAGGAGATGGACCTGCGGAAACAGCTGTCTGCCGCTTTGCAGGAGGCAGAGCGACACGAGGCGCAGCTCAACAAGCTGCAAGCGCAGTTAGCAGGTGAGGCTTCTTGTGCCTGTTCCGTGGCAGCTCCTTTATGTCATTCTTTTTCCGAAGTCATAGGTTTTTCCTTTCTCCTGGGGTATCTATTCCTGCTTTCCCTAGGGTCAGTCACAAGCGCATCAAAGGATGCTGATGCACTGCAGTGCCTGAAGGGTGTGTGCATCGTTGTTCCCGCCAAAGGGGAGTGGGCTGAATCAATGGACAAAGCCATCCTGGCACA